ACTGCTAGTATAAGGGGAACATCCCAAGTTCAGGGCCTAGGGTGTGGGAAAGAAAAACATCTCTTGATCTGTTGCTTATGGTCTCAAGCGCCACACCCCGAAGCCCCCCCCAAACAACCAACCACTGTTGTTTGCTTAAGAATCCCCCAGAAATATGACAAAAAAAGATCTTCCCCATAAGGGTAGTAAGGGGATTACTTTGTTTTTTCAGTTTTTTGGGAGTTCTTAAGCAAGTAGTAGACCACCGCCAAGCTTCATTTGGCTGAAAAGGCTCTCCGTCATGTCCTTCCTGTGGAGGGTTGTTGTCGGCAATGGGACCCACGGGGATGCTCAACTTCCCGGATGCCCCTCACACTAAACGCCTGAACTACACCCCAAAACCCTACATCCCTCACACTGAAACACAACCCCATTGTTGCTTACTTTGCACACGGATGCCGTGGCAACGTGGGGCCTCTATGCCTGTACCTTGGGATGTTCCCCCTTCTACTAACAGTCCTTAATCGGATGATAATAGGGGTACTATAATCCCCATTAAGGACTCTGGGTATAAAGGGGAACATCCAAAGCTGCAACTGAAGTTGTCGCTTGGGCGAAGGGACGCTGCAATGCAAGTTGGTCCAGGGCCGCTCACTGCTACGCACTGACATCGCCTGGGCCATAGACTAGCTCGACTCACCCGGATCCAGAATTCTCCATGGTCTGAAGAGAGAACTTCTCCCTACTTTAGAATAGACCCTGGAAAGAAAAAATATACTTTTTAGGTAGAAGTAGCTGCAATAAGAACCCAGAACCAAAAAAAACGTATGAAAGTATGTTAAAGTACAGTACTCCAAAGCCCAGTTCTGCACGTAGTTGTGCAGATTTTTGGACTTTTGGTCTTCGCCGGTCTCCTTTTAATCCCAGGACCAGGTCCCTTCACGCATCCCTATGCCAGGGGCTTCAAGCCTAAGAACAAAAATTCCTGAACCACCTACTCCCTAAACCCTAAACCCTAAACCCTAAACCCTAAATTCGGACACCCTCCTGAGCAGGGGCTGAGACCTCCCAGGATGGGCTATGAAGGGCCTTATAAAATCCTCATAATGAACCCTATAAAGGGCCTTTTAAGGGATTAATGGGGTATAATAATGAACCCTAAAAAAAGGGCCTTTTAAGGGATTACTGAGGTATAATTGAACCCTATGAAGGGCCCTTCTAAGGGATTAGATGGGGTATAATAATGAACCCTAAAAAAAGGGCCTTTTAAGGGATTACTGAGGTATACTAATGAACCCTAAAAAAAGGGCCTTCTATGGGGATTAGATGGGGTATAAAAATGAACCCTAAAAAAAGTGCCTTTTTAAGGGATTAGATGGGGTAAACTAATGAACCCTATAAAGGGCCTTCTAAGGGGATTACTGAGGTATACTAATAGGGGCCGTTTAAGGGATTAGAGGGGTATAAAAATGAACCCTATAAAGGGCCTTTTAAGGGATTAGATGGGGTATAAACATGAACCCTAAATAAAGGGCCTTTTTAAGGGATTAGAGGGGGTATACTAATGAACCCTAAAAAAAGGGCCTTCTATGGGGATTAGATGGGGTATAAAAATGAACCCTAAAAAAAGTGCCTTTTTTTAAGGGATTAGATGGGGTATACTAATGAACCCTATAAAGGGCCTTCTAAGGGGATTACTGAGGTATACTAATAGGGGCCCTTTAAGGGATTAGAGGGGGTATAAAAATGAACCCTACATAAAGGGCCTTCTAAGGGATTAGAGGGGTATCATAGCCCCATCCCGGTCCTACGCCCCCCTTTTAAGGCGGGCGGCTCGGAGGAGCGTGCGCATGCGCTGAGGAGCATGTCGTAGTCCATGGTGCTGGGTGTGAGCTTCTCCTCTGAAGGGTTTAGGGTTTAGGGCTTAGGGCTTAGGGCTGAGGACGCTCTGTTTGGGTCTGGGGGTTCTAAAGCTTGGACGACCATCTTGGCGTTGGCTACAAGCACTTGGGCCCAAGCTTGAACTTCTCACCGATAAGCATTTTTTGTGTCAAGGGTCTACATGTTTAACTCTCTCGCCTGAAAATAGCTTCCCGCGGAGGCAGTCCTGTTGCATCGAAGAAAAGAGCCGTAGCGCGCCTTCCCACTGCCTTTGCTACTTCGGTCTCGGTGCTGTTGTATATATGAGAACACCAGAAACAGCGTCGAAGGAGCCACTTAGCAGCTGACGCAGAAGTCAAGATGCCTTCAGGTTTGCAACATGGGAGTCTAGGGGGCAGGGCCGCACCCCTGGTAACTGGAACACAGGTCTACTTCCAGGTTCCTTCTCAGACCACACATCGGCAACTCCAGAAGACCCCTAACCTACCCTTGGGCATCCAAACAAGATGATGTTTGCAGGCTTTCGGCAAAAATCTTGCAGCAGACCCAGTACGAGGCACTGGCTGGAGGCTTGAACCCTCAACTCTGAAAACGCAGATCGCCAACCAGCGGCAAAGCCCGCTGACAAGCGGATAGGGCCACATTGTAGCTGAAGGCGTTGGGTGTGACTCCTACGCAGCTTTGTTGCTTCAGGCCCCACTGGAAAAGCTAGGCAAGCGTCAACTGTCCAGACGAGGCAGTCAGTCGGGTCCATGTGACCACTGCCACAAAAAAACAACTCAGCACTAGTTTGAAATGCACGCTTGAGGCCAGGCATTAATGCAACAAAGATGCAGTCAATGCAAAGAATTCGGGTAACACAGCTCACTTAGTGCATCACATTAATTAAAACCCTTTTAATTCCTGTGGTAGTTTCTTCAACGTTGAAGCATGTTCATTAGCATAGTTACTGTTATTACATGAAATAATCGCATTAAACTCATCTAAACCCTGTAGGTACTGTAAGCAATTGTAATTAATGTAACTAATTCCAAGTACTTGTACTGGAATTCATGAATTGGTTTAACTAGTTCAAATCATGTAATTAAGTTACGTACCTAAAAATAATTGTTATTCATGGTAGTTGATCTAAATAAAGCCACTCGGTTTAAAACTAATTTGACTACGGCGGGTCTTGCGCACACGTCAATGCCGTTTCCTGGCCGTATGGATCCTGATGGCGTTTTCTCAAGTTTTTGCAGGGAGAAAGCACTGGCATCCCTCAACAGGATGTGAGGCCCCTGATACGCTTCCGGCCCGCATCCCTTCTGGGCTGCCCCTGAATCCAGAATATTCTCATCCCTTTTTTCAAGGACGCACAGCAACCTGCAAGACACCAACAAAAAGAAACTGCCAGCAAAAGGTCCTTGAGGCCGCATGGCGGCCAAGACATCCACAGCTCGTTCCCAGAGGCTAGCAATCCCGAGGGAGTCGATGGTTTCAGTGTACGCCTGAGGTTGGGGCTACAGGATTGCCCCTCCTGCTTGTTGTAGGTGCGTTGGAGTGTAATGTAGTGTGATGGTACGAAGGCTTTCAGGTTTGGGAACTCTTTCAGGGCCAGCAACATCGCTTTAGCTCATGAATCCAATTTCTTTACATCTTCTCACACGCAGACTGAAGACTACATTCGATTGCTTCGGCGCAAAACCCTCAACCATCACCGAAGATTCAGAGAACACTGCTACAAACCCTAGAGCAGGCACTGTCCAACATTGAACATTGGGCATCAAGCCCTGAATCCAGAATCCCTTTTCGCGTACGAGCCACTTGCACATCAGCCACAATCTCCCTGTCTTTCATGTCCTGGTGGTCTGGGGGACTAGTCAACTCTACTCAATGCCTTTGCAGGGCAAAGAGGGATCGAGGCAACGGAAAGAAGCCACTTAAACGGGGTGCCATGCAACAGGCAGCGATCAATATGCGAGCCAAACAACTGAGCACGCGAAGGCATGATGTCAATCAGCCATGCCGCAACCCAACTTCAAACACAAAGATCCTAAGGTCACGGTACTTCTACTTCATCAGGGCTTATAGTAGGATGTCGTACAGGTGTGAAAGATGCAGGCAAAGTGTGACCTAGACTTTCTGTGGCCATCCGTCTCTACCGCAATGTAACGATCCGAGTCGAACCATTCAAAAAAATCAACATACCACTGCAGCAAGCCTTCGAACACATAGCTACTCGTGCCCTGCGCACCTTCAGGCTGTACTTGGAGGCTCAGAGTGACCGTGACGTACCGCAGCCCTGCTTCGAAACCCTCCTAGTTGTCCAGTACCTAGGGGAACGAAAGGTTAACCTTTGGGGTTTTCAGGGGATCATTTTACCCCAAGAAGGTTAAAGGTTACCTGCTCTGCAACTAAGCCCGGTAACCCATATGAAGTTCGTGGGAGGGTGGTCCTCCAGCAGCTCCAGCGCAAGGTATGGCCTGTCAATGCAAGGTTTCCTTGGCCTTTGAAAAACCGAAAAAAGAAGCGCAAAGAGGCCAGGGGTGTAGCAGCCGTCATCTAAATATCACCTGATACTAAAAAATCTGCTCATAGCCCTCTGGATGATAGTCCTTCATCGTCATAATTTTAATGCTGAGTTCTAAGAGAACTATCTAGTAACTAACAACAACCATCATACATGTAACGCTGGCTCCAACATACGGAAGGCCTGGCCGGGGTATTGGACCAAGGTATCGGTATCGAGGACATGGCCCCGTGCTGTTATTTACTTGCAGGAGATCCCTATTAGAACTTGGTAGCCCAGTAACCATAGTTAAACAACGGCACCCTTTTTTGGGTTGGTTACTTTAGAAGGGAACCCAGAACCAAAAAAGGAAAAAGGGTGCCACTGGGCTACCAAGCCAAGCGTATGCCTCCCTTTTTTGCTTGCGGTCTTGGGCTTGTCGCCGGGTTGCGGCTTACGGCTTACGCGCGCCACACATGCGGCCCACGCCGGGAAAAGACACGACGGCCTTGATGCCGCACCCTTGGCAGTACAGCAAAGCACCCCTTTCAGCAGTGCAAAACAGCAAACATCCGAGCGAGGGCGATGTCGATGAAAAGCACAGCACCGTACAAATCACTGTCGCAGGCACCTCATCTGTAGTGCCAAGTCAAGCTTTCAATTTCTGTCGGGCAAAATGCACCATCAGTTCGGACATGGGCAAAAGCAGTATGGCCGTGCCAAGCACAACTTGCCAGAAGGTCTCGGGAGTGGACGACTTCAAGTTGGGAGTCAGCTCATAGGCCGGAGCACCATTGGCATACCATATGGGGATGGCGATGATCCTCGATAGCAGTGGCACTGTGTGGGTGTAGCTGGCAAAGCGGATGCCCCAGTCACGGTGGCGCGGGATATCTCGCTTCCAGCCGTAGTACCATGTCAGGACAGCAGAGAGCAGCCACAGGACAGCGACCGCAGCGACAAGAGCCTGGAAGTAGAAGCTCAGTGTTTCTATGTGCCAAGCGAGCTTGTATGCCGGATAGACGGTCAAGAGCGTTGAGGCAATACAGACTCGACCTGTCCAGCGGTGCATCGTCAGACTCTGTTTGCGGACGAGTTTCCAGCACTGCGTAATGGACAGCACCAGGGGAGCGGCTGCGGTGAGGATGTGGAAAAAAAGTACGGAGCCCTCCTTGGACTGTGGAACACGGTATTTGTCGAAGAAGTACACCGGGCGGTATAAGACATCGTGGCCGGGTTGGTTGCCATTCGCCACGTGGTAGTCGTAAAGGTTGAAACAGAAAAAGAAGTCATATCCCAGGAGCATCGAAGCAACAACATGCTCCATGCCGGTCGAGGGTGAATTGGGACACCTGCGCTCTGACTGCCCTGGTCTGAAAGGAAGCCTCCTTGAGCCAAATTGGCAAGGCTCTCCACGAGAAGCCCTATAAGTCCTAAATGGCTGAGGAAGGTCTCAATCGGGGTTAAAGTAACCCCTTTCCTGCGCCTGGGCTCTGGCCCTTGTACTTTAAAAGCTTAGAGACCGAGCTTCAACAACCCAATCCGTAGTCAAGTGAGCTGCTGCAGCCAGTGGGGGGGGGGGGGGGTACCTTGCCAGGAAAAGACAGCCGCAACAAACAGGGACTACCCTAAACCCTCTCTCTCTCTCTCACAACCCTAAACCCTTAAACCCTTAAACCCTAAACCCTAAACCCTAAACCCTAAACCCTAAACCCTAAACCCTAAACCCTAAACCCTAAACCCTAAACCTGCAGGAGAGCCTTTGAAGGAGGCTGCGCGTAGGACATTTTAGGATCTATGGCGGTAGCTTCATGTTCGACTGCCAAGATGCTGGACTCCAAGGCGACAGGCGTTGATCGCTGCGCTGTACACTACGGTGTTGCCTCCGGCTGCAAGTTAATGGCAGCGCAGCAGGGTTTAGGGTTTAGGGTTTAGGGTTTAGTTGCAGCGTCTGACTGAACAAGCTTAGAGCATGTTCAAGGTTGTCGCACACTTAAGCCCTGTGGTGGACCTAACACGTTGCTGACAGGTAGAGACCTATGGCCTAGAGGCATTGGCAACCCGACAAATTTAAAAAAAAAAAAAAAAACTCTGGTTGGCCTGCTCATTGGCAGCCCACCTCAGCGCCTTTGTTGTACAAAGTTCCTATAGCCAAATCTTAATGTCTCGGCAGAGGCGCCCTCGATGCTGTTTGCCTGCATGCTGCGGAAACGGCGCAAAGCCATCTCCCATCCTCGGTGCACGACCCGTCGTGTTCAGGCTTCTCGGGTCAGGGCTCTGAAAGTGGGGTTTAGGGTTAGGGTTTAGGGTTTAGGGTTTAGGGTTTAGGGTTTAGGGTTTAGGGTTTAGGGTTTAGGGTTGGGAAACTCCCGAAACCCCTCAGATCTCCACTGCCCACGGTCGATGGGGAGCTGTTAAGTCCTGGCCCGATGGGTCGTGCTGTGCCCCACCCCCCCCCCCCCATAGCCGAGGCCCTCAACACCACAACTTCGAGAAAAAAACAAAAGGAGGCAGGCTTCAGTAAACCCTAAACCCCAAATAACCCTAAACACTAAACCCTAAACCCCAAACTCTAAGTACAGCTTGTGTGTAATAAGGACTTCAGGTTTCGGAGCCGTGGAGATTTTTTACCAAAGCATATGGATGCCTTTCGGGATCTAGTGTGATGGCCGTCTTGCCCGAAAAGATGTCTGCCTGTAACACACCAGGCCCGATCACCCAGAAGCTCAGACAGCTGTTGTTCGAATCGCTTCACTAACGTTTCCTGAGTGGCCAGAGCAATTATACACTATGACCCCGTAAAAAGGCCCTTGGTAGGGTTGGTTGTGGGCATTATGATAGGGCCTAGTAGCCCATCCGGGTGTGAAGACGAAACACCTTTAGGGTTTAGGGGTAACCCTAAACCCTAAACCCTCTTTCCTACGACCAAAATCGGATCAGGGCACGGCCGGCATCTTTCTCACAGTCAATCGCCAGGCTGTACGTGTAGGAGTCAGGCTGGAGTTCCTTCTCAAAGGTTTAGGGTTTAGGGCTTAGGGTTCAGGGTTTAGGGTTTAAGGTTTAGGGTTTAGGGTTAGGGAAACACTACACACACACACACACGTCGGGCTTGTCTGCAAGGCTTCTGTTCCGGCTGGGAAGTGGTTGAAGAATTGCAGTTCTTTTGTTTTTCTCTCCGCTGGGTGTAGGGTTTAGGGGCGTTTGTGTCAGGATGCTAGTGGGTAGGAGTCATCTATTCCTGTCCACCTACAACCCGTACAATTGTTTGTTGCTTTCTGCTAAGTGGGCGTAGGCTTATATGGCCACTGCTAATGGCCGCTTCTTTAACCCACAGAAGAGTGCCACACTCTTCAGCCCTAAGGCAAAATACAGAACACCCCTGAATAACTTCACAATACGTCCTGCGCACAGCCAGAAAATTCCCTGTTGCGCTGGTGCACGGTCTGTACCAACGCCCCAAGTCAGCCCTAAACCCTAAACCCTAAACCCCAAGACAGGTCCACCGATTGCTTGGGTCCGGCTTTTGGGGTATGGACCCTCTGATCTGAAACTACCTTAAGGACGAAGTGAACCCTAAAAGGGTTTACATGGCTCATGCACTTTCATAGGGATCCTAGTAGTCTAGGGTAGATGACCCCCCAAGTTGAAGGTTCATTTTTGGTCCCCAAGGTGCACCCTAAACCCTAAACCCTAAACCCTATACCCTAACCCTAAACCCTAAACCCTAAACCCTAGGAGCGGCCTCCGACTCCATCTTCTTGAAGAGCTGCGAGACTTGGGATGGGCTGCCCGCCTCCGTGGTCTCGAACATGTGTTTCAGGACCACAGGGATGCTTTTTTGGGAGGTCGGCTCCCTAAACCCTAAACCCTAAACCCTAAACGGCCCTAAACCCTAGAGGCTTCTTGGGGTCTCTGCTGGTGGTTGAAAGGACCCTGGCCGTGAGCACTCTAGGTGTCCTCGTGTGCCTACGGAACTTCACTCATCCAAGGGGCTATGAGCCTTTGGGGTTTGCCTCTTATTTGCTTACTCTATATATATATATGTATATGTATACCGACTCCCTTAAATCAGGGACGTGCTTATTTGGGTCTGTCCAATCAGCGCCTAAAGGTCTCACGAATCTCTGCCGAAGGGCACGCCGGCAAGCGGCGAAGACGTTGTTGTATACCTTTGCAAGACTCAACAAACGGAAACAAACCTACGGGCATCTTTCCACGAAAGCTGGGCTTTAAATCTCCCAAAGACTAAGAAGCTCCCGACTCTTGTTCGCCGAAGCCCCAAGACTCCTTCAATCCCAAGTGGACTCTGTCAAGGCCTTCGATTGCCGAGCTTTGGAGACAGGACCTCCTACCAACTCTTGGGGTTTAGGGTGTAGGCTTCCATAAGCAACTTCATTCACCAAGGCTGCGTAGGTGTCGGGCGCCACCCGTTCTCGAGGCATCCGTTCCAGGAAAGCCAGTGCCTCTACACACGGCTCGGTATGTATGGCATGCACCCAAGGCATTCCAAGTATTCCGTTTACAGGTTCCTTCGCGGGAATTGGGTCTACCCAAACCCTAAACCCTAAACCCCAAACCCCTTAACCCCAGAAACCCCTAAAACCCAGAATCCCCTAAATCTTAAGGAGGCACCAACTCCTTCTGACGCCTCCTCATACACTATACACAATAAGGGCCCATACTTTGGATCCCTTTGAATCCCTTTTGTGTGTAAGGGACCATGCTAAGGGCCCTAAACCCCAAACCCTAAACCCTAAACCTTAAACCCTAAACCCCATGGTTCCAACCTTAGATTCAGCCTCCTCCCAGAGCCCACCATTGGCGAAGCGAGCGAGTACTGCTCCGCAGCCGATCCTCGGGGCTCCGATTGGGGGTTTTCAGAGACATGTAGGGGCATCTTGCAAAGTTTTGGGTTTAGGGTTTAGGGTTTAGGGTTCAGGGTTTAGGGTTTAGGGTTTAGGATTTAGGTTTAGGCTTTAGGGTTTGGGGCCTTCCGGAAGGAGAGCTTGATAGGGCTGAGAGCACCTCAGAACACTTGAACCTCAAGTCGCTGTTCCAGAGCACCACAGTGTGCTCGGACTGACGTCAACACAGAATGTAAGCATTTGGGGGTTTACGAGAATAGGGGGATCGCCTTAAAGTCAAGACTCCAAAAAGGACCCTGAACCCTTTTTCTGGGCAACGGGGACTTTGGAGGCTGCGGGCAAACATGCAAATTCTCAGAAGTCACATCGCGCAATCTGGCGCAAACTGTCTTATTCACCCATGTCACCATGAGCAAGCACACGCGAATCAAGAAAATAAATCTGAGTAGACGTCAAGATATCTAAGAGCAAAATGGGCTGATACTGCTTCCACATTCGAGTAGCCAAGTGATGCAAGAACAAGAGCAAAATGTCCGCAAGCTCTTATCGCAATGCCTAAACAGCCTAAACCCTAAACCCACATGTAATAATAGGGTGCGAAGAAACCCAAAAACCCTATAAACTCTAAATCCTAGACCCACACTTAATAGGGTGCGAAGAAAGCCTAAAACCCTATAAACCCTAAACTCACATTTACTTGGGGAAACTTGTGCTTCGTAGGGGGCCTTAGAACTCCTGGGCCTTCAAGCGAAGCCCAAGACTTCGGGAGGGAACCCTTTTGGCCCCAAACCCTGCACTTCGGGATTCGGGTTTATAGGGTTTATAGGGTTTAGGGGGTTATAGGGTTTATAGGGTTTATAGGGTTTAGCGGGTTTTATAGGGTTTATAAGGTTTATAGGGTTTACAGGGTTCATAGGGTTTACAGGGTTCATAGGGTTTATAGGGTTTACAGGGTTCATAGGGTTTATAGGGTTTATAGGGTTCTATAGGGTTTTATCGGGTTCTATAGGGTTTATAGGGTTTGCAGGGTTTAGGGTTTATAGGGTGTATAGGGTGGTTTTAGGGTTTAGGGCTGAGGGGATCCCAACACCGCTTCTGCCCAGGCTCAGATCCATGGGCTGCGCCGCCCAGAGGCTGCTGATCACCCGGGCGGCCGCGTCCCGCTGGGAGGCCTGGCAGGCAACCCTGAACTAGGGTTAGGGTTTAGGGTTTAGGGTTTAGGGTTTAGGGTTTAGGGTTTAGGGTTTAGGGTTTAGGGTTTAGGGTTTAGGGCTTAGGGTTTAGGGTTTTTTTTTTTTGGGGGGGGGGGGGGGGTTCTCTTCTTGGGGTTCAGGGTTTAGGGTTTAGGGTTTGGGGTGTTCCCCCTTGTGCTAACAGTCCTCACTAGGGATGAGAATAGGGGGTACTGTCATCCCTATGAAGGACTGTTAGTATAAGGGTGAACATCCCAAGGTTTAGGGTT